GATGGGGGTGGTGTGGGATGTTGGGAAATGAGGGGTTTGCGGTTGGTGGGGTTTCGGGACGGTTTGGAAGGCTTTAATGCAGGGGGGGGCATGGATTTTGGATGGGAGGATCCGAATTGTAGGAGGGGGGGCTTGGGATGGGAGGTGTTAATTGGAGGCGGCAACGGCTAATTGGGATGGGAGGCAGTAATGAAGGGAGGGAGGAGCGGCTTGAGGTTGGGCCCCGGGGGTGGGCGGGGTTACAGACGGAAATGGGCGGGGCTAAGACCGGAAGGGGGGGGCTATCCGAGGCTGTGGGCGGGGCTATGTGCGAGGTGGGCGTGGCTAACCGCGGGAGTGGGCGGGGCTAACCAATAATGCGGGTTGGGGAAGCAATTGGTGGGTGGGGCTAAAGGGTGGGCGTGGTCGAGCGCGTGGTGGGCGGGGCTACCTGTGACATGGGCGGAGCTAAACGTGGAGGTGGGCGGGGTCAAGCGCGGGGGTGGGAGAGGCTAACCGTGGGGTGGGCGGAGCTAATGGGGTGGGCGGGGCTAACAGCGGGATTGGACGAGTGTGGCCATGATGTGGGTGGGGCTAAGAGCGGGGTGGGCGTGGTTTACTTACTACTGATGTGAGTGGGAAACAAGGAAGTGGGTGGGGCTAAAGATGAGGTGGGCGGGGCTTTAACACCGTGGCGGGCGGGGGTAACGAAGAGGGCGTGGCTAAGCGATAGTGGGCGTGGCTAAGCGATAGTGGGTGGGGCTATAGACGGAAATGCGCGTGTCTAAACGTGCTGTGGGCGTGGCTAACCACGTGGAGGCGTGGCTAAAGCCCGTACAGCGAGCTGCAGCTGGAGGACGGCGGGTCCCTCCCCCTCCCAGCTGTGCGGGCTCTTTGTCCCTCAGGTCCCGAGCAGCCGAACGATGCGGAGCAGCGCGATCCAACTCACCCCCGCCTGGCACTGTCCAAAGCCAAAATGTTGGTGATCAGCGGCGGCGATGGCTACGAGGATTTCCGCCTGACGAACAGCAGCGAGAGCGTGGGGCGCGACGACAGCACCAACCACCTCCTGCTCTGGCGGGTCTGACCTCCCCCCCCCCCCCCCCCCCCCCCCCCCCCCCCCCCCCCCCCCCCCCCCCCCCCCCCCCCCCCC